AGCTCAGTAAGATTGCACCAAACAATTACATATTTTATACAATCAAGGTTCTTAATAAATACAATCTAAAAACAAGACGTAAGTCATGACACAATACTTAAGTACACAACAATTGCTTTTTATAATAATGAACATGTCCTGGATTACCCAAGCTGGTAATTTGCGCAATTTGTTAAATCAAGGGAAACAAAAAAATATGCGGTCAAATGCATATTTTTTACTTAAACATTTACGATGGGGATGGTATGGACAATTTTGTCAAAAAGTTAAAACCAAAATTTTTTTATTTCAAAAAATTAGGTCTTCTCCTTTTATACCTACTATCAAAAGTGTAACTTACCTATTGACAGGTTTCAATTAAGACCTATCTGTAATAAATAAATTAATCCCTGAACATTAGTCCTAAACTAAGAATAAAATTAAACAAATGTTTTTGTATTTGCAGTTAAGTATAATATACTTACTATCTATTTTCTATGCCTACGGATAGTGTATTGAAAACGGTCGTAGACTTACTCTTTGTATCCATAAGTGCCCGTCGTTTTAACGCTTAATTTTGAAGATATATTGAAACCGCCCTGTTCTGAAGGACAATCGAGCGTGGGAGCGAGCCCCCGGCGACGCTAACCCCTAATGGATCCTGGACTCATCTCATTACAATTGTATAATTGTTGACATTTTTTTGATGCAACTCAACAATGAAAGTAACCGCGTAGCACAATAGTTCAGGAGACAGCTTTCATGACTCCTATTTATACCGGTTATTGCAGTTTTTGCACAAATTCGGACCATGAATACTCGGCTCGACAATATTAAGTTACGCTGCCGACAAGCTCTAAAATTGCTATAATATTTCATTTTGGTTTTTCAAGAAACGTGTCTGTCAAAATAAAATAAGACAACCCAGAAGATTACCTACACATAAAGACAGGATACATAAGGACGTTTTGGGAATTCATGATCACAATAAAGAGCTGCTATTTCAATGGCTTTTCTTATTACACCACTGTTTACTGACACGATCTTTATTATGACTGCATAACGGGTTTTAGCCACGACCAGGATATCTATGTTAGCTTAAAAATAGGTGTAGTCACAAGTCCGTGGCCGAGTCTACGTGCAGTTCACAATCCAACAGAAAGGAATTAAGCTAGATATTAGTTCTTATCTAAAAATCGTGGTACGTTGCATAGGGGATATGGCAATCCCGTTTGCCACTTGAGCTGTGGGTGCTTGGGGCGGCGGCGGCGGTCGGGTGGCGACGGGCGCCGCCAGGAATGCAGGTTCGCCAACTATCACACGCCCAACATGAGTTGGATCTTTTTTAAAGAGCGCGTTTCCTGGAAGCGACTGCCGAGCGATGGAGGCTGGCGCGCTCGGCCGGCCATTGTGCCGCGCGGCTAGTTTTGATCTTATTGTTAATGGGACGCCAAGTTTTTTCAACAGAGTTCGGAAAAAAGGTATCATCAGACCCCAGCGGAAACGTTACGAACCCTTGTGAAGTAAAATGGATATACGTTCTTCGAAGGTGTTATTTTAATCGTAGGTCGGGTTTTGTTGTTCAGGAATGTAGATGGCCTGTCATAATTTTAATGGGCAGTTTCTCAACCAACCTATGGTGATGATGCTGATCACGTCCTGAATATTCATTGGATATCCTATCTGCTATAGGAATGCGATATGGTAATAACTCGGTATCTAAATAATAATTGTTCAGCAATAACAGAAAGATTTGAGAATAAGCGCTAGAAGCCTCACGAAGTCGCCATCGATCCATCCGAATGTTATTTATAGGGACTCGAGAGCAATGCGTCAATGATAATCAGGTAGCTTCAATAGGGGCACATTGAGTGCATAAACCCGTGCTATTGTGCATGTAGACATGTATAAAGGCCAACCACGGTAATGAACAAACCGCACACGTAGTTCTTTATAATGACATGATAACCGGTGGCCTCCGTGTAATGATATCCTCTCGAAGCAACTATACGTGTATTCATAATATCAAATTATCTTGATCCGCAAAATTTCGCGAAGCGTATTCAATAAACCTCGAATTCTTAACAAATAGGTACAGATGGCGTAGTACATAAAGTATACATCATAAAGTTATGAAGTGGGTATAAAGGTCTTAATCGATTAGGTATATGTATCTACAGAACTCGTTATATGTGGGGGTCCAAATCCCTCAGGGCTCTGTTTCTCATATCCCTTCACTAAAGTATAACGAGTGGTTGTTAAAATTATGAATGAAACATTTTTCGAGACGCGGCCCTGTGTTAGTAGGGTGTAGGTTAGTAAGTGTATGCAATGGATCACGCACACTCACACGATTCAGTGAATCAAGGCTGTGTCAGCTGTGGCCTGTGTGTGATATCCCCACCAGTATACACCGCGACTTTATGTATGGATAGAAGATTTTAAATTATCGAATAATAGTTTTTCACTATTTCATAAATAGACCAGGTAAGATAATTAATCCTATTTGCAAATAGTTACCTACTTTACACTTTTTATGATCAAACAATCAGAACTAACGTACGTTAGGGTTCAGATAATTGGGGAATTTTGTCTGTAAATGAAATTTATATCTATTCAATGAAAAAAAAGCCGCTTGATTATGCAGTGGGCAACAATGGAATGTGTGTCGGTTATGAGAGCTCAAACAAAACGTCACTTACGAAAGGGATGCCCGAAAGCTGCTTCGGAACGGGCTTTCTTGTATGAGTTTATTGGTGGAATTTTAAGGTCCAATTACACCGAGCCGCCACTATTAACAACTTTATTTATAGTGGGATAAATATGTTGCGGCTTTTTAATCAATCATGTGGGCTACCACTACCAGGGACATCCGGTGAGCGCCACAATTGTCCAATAAGTGCTGATCATTCCGACATAAACTATGCATCGAATATTGCGGGGCGTTTAAAGTGAATTAACCATCAGTGCGAGAGGTGCGCCGCCGCACGAGGAATGCAGTTCGAGCTCGCACCACAATAACATTATTAAAGGGCCGCAATTTGGTTCAGTTAGTCTAAAAAACCACACAATGAGTATGTGCGATGCGGCTCGATGTTTATCCGCAGTTGCAGTAATTGTCTTGACATAATTTGATAAAACAATAAGCTTTCGTTTTCTTTTTAAGGCTCTTTAATAGATCTAACTCACCGTTGTCGGTCTGTTTGGCACGGATTAACTGTAAGTCGGACAGTTACTACGAACGAGTGCTACCAGCGTTTAGTCGGCCATGGTTACATTCGTGGCAAATAAGTATAAGTAGTTGCATTACGTTATTATATTTAAACAGATATTTAAAAGCAACTAGTGTGTAATTACTTAAAGAGAATCAAATTTGTAATCGAAATGCCTTGCTGATATAAGCTGTTAAGTAAATGATCAAAAGTGCTAGTTAAGTAAATACTGTTATAAAAAAGTTATATCACAACTAGCTGACTCGGCGAACTTCGTACCGCCCAAAAGTAATAATTTGCAATAAATTAAAATTGCGACCATAATTTGAGATTTAAACTATCCTATCTCTCAAGTTGGATCAAACTGCACATGGTGTGCGAATTTTATTATAATCGGTTCAGTGGTTTAGGAGTCCATTGAGGACAAACATTGTGACACGAGATTTATATATATTAAGATTTCGCTAGAATTTACCATTGTTTGTACGTGGTTGTTTGATACATAATGTAATGTGATTACAGTTTAAATACCTTGTTACCATAGGTGTTGTCGAGGCGATTGGGTGATTGTTTATAGTAAACAGGTAATCGTGTCATTCTAATTAAATAAACTCAGTCGCGTGTTTATGAATAATCCTATTGTTAAGTAAATATAAATCTTTCCTCCATCAATTAATGCATGGTCCGTGTTTGAAGTTAATATAATATAAGGCTAATTAAAAGCATATTCTGAATGTTTTCCTGTTTGTCCACCAGATAACAGTTCAAATGTACCTATACAGTTTTTTTTTATATCTGTAAAACCAGATAATACTCCTGCTTTATGGACTGAAGTCCCACTAGTGCGTGTCAGGAGTGTGGGTTGACGCCGCGAGGTCGGAGCACTCCGCGGCCCCGTGGGTGTTTGTCCGTTCCCGGACTCACCCTGATGTGCGGTTCCCCGGAGTATCAGAGGCACCAATCATCACGGGAACCGTGCAAATGCAGACTGGCGCGTAGTTCTCCCCTCCCTCTCCCCTCGCCGTAGGCGCAGAGGCAGGCTCCCCCTCTTTTGGTCGCCTGCGTTTCCCGTTCCTAGGAGGTCGAAGGTGACGCAGGCGACTGAAGTCGATGGAGACTTCGAGCAGCCTAGGCTACTTAGACATCTCCCTCTCGGAGGTCGTCTGTCCAGGCGTCAATGACTCTGCGACCTGTTTAGAACTCCACCGTCATTAACATCAGGTGGGGCGGAGTCATTTGTTAAATGTTTTTGTCAAAAAAAAACTTACGAAACAAAGATCTAACCAATAATTTTCCCTATTTCATATTATAAATCTTAAATGTCGTTAAAAGCTTGCAATATCTAATATTTTTTATCTAGTACAAAGAAAACTTAAACAATGTTTTAATTCTTCACTCGTTATCTCTTACAGAGCCAGCCAAAGTAATAAAGGTATAAGGTACAACTGACCATTACTTATTTTTCATTTTATTTCATTACTTATATGCAAATAATATTATTAGTATCCAAAATATTATTCAGAAACAAAAGTAACAGGTAGTCAGCTCTTCATCTAAAAAGTAAACACACAGTTTTAAAAACATACTCTTCGACTTTTGCTTTCTATGACTTTAAAGTTCGCAGCTTGTTTTTTTCCGCATTTTATCTCCCACTATCAGGCTCATCCAGAGTTCTATCCCAGGAGTTACATGGCCTTTCTCACTGCATGGACAGATTTCTAGCTTTGCAGTCTCGTAAAATGGACAATACTTTCCGAGACAAAGTCTTCAATCCATTTAGACAATAACCGATTAAAGCACCACACCTATATTGGGTTTTATTTAATTCGTTCGAATAACAGATTAATTGTAAAAGGTACTAATAATGTTTCCGGTTCATTAGGCGGTTCGGACGATGGAGATCTCGTTACACTGATCGTTGTGAAATCCGCCCACTGTACGCAGCGAGCGAGCGGGCGTAGCGAGCGGCTGACAGACCACGCCGGCCGCACGCACTCGCCCAAAAAACACCCCGAGACGTAACATAATATTTCCCAAGCAGCCTTTTATTTATGAACAGTGCTCCGTGGCGGCGCCGCGACAACTCCGCTTCCCAGAACCGAGATCGGTGCGTCGGCCCGAAGCCGTTACATCTATGAAAAAACAATATTTATGTCGATGAAAAAATCGGGATACGAACCGTATTTGTCTGAACGCCGTGAGATATGATGCTTTTTGTCCGGCCAGTTTGCAGGAATCTGCAGGTATCGGCTTTCTAGTCTATGTATGTGAACGTTAATTTGCTAATTTTCGGCCAAGTGGGCGTCTTCAGGAATGCTAGCTATTCCATAAAAAAAAAAACAATATAAACCCTAGAACTTTATATAAAACAACTACCCTAGCAAAACTACTTCAAATAACGTTAAACAAAAAAAAGGTAAATTTAAAAAAATCAAAAAACCCGACTGCTTAATTATACTTCAAATAAAAACTGAAAAGAAAAAAACAAGTCCAGTAGTCTATAATTCTGTTAATAAGGAACAAAGCTACTTTAACAGTCGGGACCCATTAGATATTCAATAATACATAATATTTTTCAACAGTGGGTGACACTTATTGTTAAGTATTGGCCAATTCACTCAATAACTACATAAATTATTATATATATGTAATTATCGTGATGTGAGCTATATTACTGTTAAGTTTCATTAAAATCCATTCAGTATTTTTTAGGTGAAACAGTAACAAAGATCTATACAAACGTAAGATTGAAATTAAAAGCGTAAGTGGTTAATATACAACTTTAAAGCGTTGTAGATCCTAAACAATCATATAAAATGAAAAATGGTGTTAGGAACCTAAATATGATTTTTGATTATCTAGACAGTGATCGACATATTTTGTCAACTTATTTTTTTTACTTCGTCACAATATGGCGCCTAATTTTGCCCATATTGAATTTTGATTACTATCATATCTTTAGTAGCACTCCCATGATTGAAACGAATCGATTGATGTATGAATCATCAAAATCGGTCCAGGCGTTTGGTCTCTAGTGTGCCACAAAGGAACAAACATACATATAATATAGACTGTTAAACACATAACCCTATCTGCGCGTCGCGCTTCGCGCTCTTGCATTGCGCAGCCGGTTAAAAACTAAGCATAGTTCATCAGTTTAATCTCAATTGACGAGGGTGTCTTATTTAAGAAGCTAATGACAGATTGATTAATGAAAATATAAATAAATTGAGGAATTAATAAAATGAGGAAACAACTGCTATTAAAATAATTAACTATGATTGCCGTTTACATACAGGATTATAAGGATTTAACCCGAAACTTAATTTAAATAAAGATTTATACCTTTAGCTCGACTTTATTTTCTTTTAACTAGATTAATTTCATAGCTTTTATATTGAAGGTTATGGAAGGAACATTTCAATGGTCGGTGACAAATTGGTTTTTATTATGGCCGCTAAGGATCTCCTTTTGTCGACATGCTTAATGGCTTTTTCCGATCAATTAATTAAATACTATAAAAGGAAGGTACACACTGGTTGTAAGCTGTAGAAAAACCAGTACCTAGAGACGAGTTCAATATTGATGATAATTATATATCCATATCAGACTATTAAGAGGACAACTAAATAAAACTTCTCCCATCAAGATTGTACGGAAATAATGATAATTTGATGAAATTGTGTACACTCGTTTGTAACCAATAAAATATATGTACGGGAGACAACTACAAGTCTTTCTTTTTTTAAACCGACTAGCATACTAAACGGTATTTTTCATATAAATAGAAACCACAGAGTGACCCTGGGTATAAAAAAAATACTTTGGATATTTTAACGTAAGTTTTATAACAGTAAACCGAAATTCTTCTGCGCAACTGTGTCTTCTTTTTGGTAAAAGTTATGACATTAGTTTTAGAAATTAATACTTAGCATTAGCCAGTCAGACCTCTATATATAAAATAAGGACATGTCTGAAAATCGATAGTTATTTAAAATACCGGCAATTGCTAGTCGGACTCGCGAACGAAGTATTCCGTATCTTATACAACATCAGAATTCAGACACTATATTATAATATCGACCAAAAAATCTCGTTTGTTGTACGGAAAATATTGATTTTAATATTAATTTAAATATTTGTTTTTAAAGTTAATATAATACTAACTTTTGTGTGATCATTTCAAGCTTTTTACCTGTTGCCGTTATTACTATGAAGCAAAAAATAACGTTTTCAAAACATTTGCTTAAAAAATGCATTTACGGAGGTTGTATACATTGTTCGAAAGTTCAAAATTACGGGCCATACAACGGAGCATGCAGTAAAACGTTTTACCGCACGCCCTTATACATGGCGCTGTGCATATTCTTAATTTCGATCGACTGAATGTCTCACTATAATAAAATAAAGACGAAAGATGTAGTTCTAATTCTCGCACGTGGCGCCATTTTCTTATTAAAAAAATTGGCTTCATTACTTAAATTATGTATATTTTTTACCCGGAAATGTGTATAAAAACGTTGTATGACATTATAATACAATACAATACAAAACACTTTATTGTACACCACAGATAACATTAAAATTTAGTACATAAGCAATTAAAACTAGTGTAACAATGGGCGGCCTTATCGCCTTATTACTGGTATAACAAACTCGTGACTATGGTAAGTCTTACATTACTTACATTCGTCCACCCTTTTGTAATAACCAACTCACTGCACTAATATCATAAATAACTATTGTTTCACTTTAATGCTAAAAGAAAAATTTACGAAAGATGTATATAGTTCTAATTTTCACTACCCGTACGCAGCGCCATTTGGAAATGTGCACCATTTTCTTATTAGAAAAAGTTTACTTCATTATTTAAATTAGGTAGGAGTGTAAGTACTGTACCCTTAGCACGAACCATAACGAATTCGTAACGCTTGCGAGTCCGAAATGTCATTGTCAAATGTGTACTGATTTTTAGTTCTCGTTACGTACTTTGTGGCGCTGTTCAAGTTTCCATACAAAATTTGACATTGACATTTCGCACACGCAACTATTCGAATTTGATAATGGTTCGTGCTAGGGACGCTGTTTTCTCGCTAATGTGTTGAAAAACGCTGTATGACATTCGTGCGGAATTACAAACTCGTGACTATGGTAAGCAGGTTTTTTCCCTTACGATCTAAAGATCCGTAACATACGGACAGACAGACAGATGATAGAGTGATAGCAACAGGGCTCCGTTTTTACCCTTTGGGTACGGAACCCTAAAAATGGAGAAAGTGCCGGTCAAATTTGTGGAAACCACTTGAGCATAAATAGAGCAATTGAAGTAAATAAAAAGCGTTCCGGTACCTGCTACTTGAATGCACTTGACACCATAACAAATGGATGCGGCTAACAAAGTATTTTAATGTTGCTCATGATCGAGGAACGGTTGGGAAATGTATCCAAACGCTCAAAGATATTATATTCTCAGGACTATAGGACAGGTTGTTACTTGACACTTGTAACTGGGATGTTATGAAGAAGGCTAAGTACTTTATTCGTTAAAATATGATTTGGATAATTGTTTTGCAGAAGACAATAATGGCATGAATATCGAACAGATATATTAGGATCAGGATCGGAAAGTTTAACTCTTTTTATAAATACATGATGTATTATAACATTAAAAAATAACTTTCTATTATAATGAAGAATTAACGCAAGCGATATTTAGTTGAACAGAATATAAAAATCGTTCAAAAATTATCGAAAAATTGAGGCAAATAGCCAAGGAGCATTGTTGGGATGAACTAGTACACTGCAAGGAGTCAAGAACGCTCTTTGGGATGAGGACAGACAGACAGGTACGCACATCACTACAAAGGGCAGAAGACACGACTGCCGACACGGCACTTAAGCCGATTGTCGCCTCACCGCTATAAGCCGTTATGGCTACCTCTCCGTAACAATGAAACGCATCTATACTATATCTATAAGTTGTCATACTGATACAGATAAGAATCACCGGCGACAGAATTAGCCTTTTTGCTTAAAACCAGGTAGACAAATTATTTATTGACATGCCATTGGTAAAGAAAATTTTTAAGTAACAATATTTTTTAGAGTTGGGATTCTGCTCGTCGGTGTGTTGGTTAACGCACGTGTTCTGAATTTGGCCTCGTTTTAAACGTTCAATTTGTGTTTTGAGATTCTAAATTGTGTTGTCCCTTTTGTGTTGGTTGTGGTTAACTTAATCAGCGATTTGGTAAGTCTCTTAATATTAATTCTCGATGGATGTAGGCGAGGACGACCCTCCGGACAGGGGGGCCGACCTCCAAGACGACGCCATGATGGCGTCCTTACCTGTATTTTCACAAACTCAATTAACAAAGTCTGCTCAGAAAAGACCTTCTACATTGGATGATGACATTATAAAACCGAAAAAACTTACGTCTCCTTCTGAATCATCTCAAACCATGTTCGTCTTGCCGGAATATGACAACAACAATAAATTGAAATTCTCCAACGTGGACAAGGCGCCATTTTCAGTCCAGATTTCCAAAAATGAGGAGTTAAGCGTCCAAGGTAGTACTTTAAGCGCATTGAAACTTGCACAAATACTACATAAAAACCGTGTCCCGGGTATAGTTCAAGGCGGTATCAAGTCCGTTGGACGGAACAAAATCTCTGTCGAATTTAAAAATGCAGATGAAGCCAACTCTTTCCTAGACAACAATATCTTAGCAAATAATAAGTTATCTGCTAATATCCCTAGATATCAAGTATCCCGTATGGGTATTATCAGACATGTCCCTAAAGAATGGTCTATGGAAGAGCTGGTTTTGTCTTTAAAAACACCCAGTAATTGTGGCCCGGTTATTAAAGCGAGGCGCCTCTCAAGAAAACTTTTTATAGACAGCCAGAGTCAATGGGTCCCATCATCCACAGTAGTCCTGACTTTCACTGGTCAAGTCTTACCTGAAAAGGTATACTGTTTTAATATGGCACTCCCTGTTGAAACATACCAACTCCCAACAATACAATGCCGCAACTGTTGCCGCTTTGGCCATGTAAGTAAAGCCTGTCGACCAAAACCCAGGTGCTTCAAATGTGCCCAAAATCATTTAGGTGATTCCTGCGTAGTCCCAGACATTGATGCCTCATGCTTTTTATGTCTCGGTAGGCATAAGGCTACAGACCCAAAATGCTCAGAGCACTCAAGACAGAAATCAATAAAAATTGTCATGTCTGAGGAAAACATCTCTTACTCTGAGGCCTCTAAACGCTTCCGACCCGCTCGCATGCTGTTTTCAGACTCCGTTAAGTCAACTCTCCCCACACCTTCTCAGTTTAACTCGTCCACTACTGATGCTCCACATTGCTCACCAATGACCCCTAAAAGGTCTTATATCAAAACTGTCACCCTAAATCAGCGTACTAGGGCTCCATCAGGTCCTGGTTATGATGTAGAAGCCCACGAAAACTTAATAAAAACACCGGCATATTCCCTGCCAAATGGCAGCGCATTACAAGCTCCAAGAGAGCCTCCCTCACCAACCCCGAATGATAACCTCGCAGAACTTTTGACTTCAGCCTTGATCAATATTTTGGAAAAATTCTCGGATATCATCCCCCCATACGTTCTGACCCTGCTACACCAACTTATTGTCATGTTCCAAAACAAAAACAATGGATCCAGTTCTCCTACAGTGGAATGGTAGAAGCATCAGGAATAAAAAACAGGAACTTATATACCTTATCAACAAGTTCACTCCGGTTGCCCTTGCCCTCTCTGAGACATGGCTCAGACCAGATAGAAGGTTTTCTATCTCGGGATTTGCGTGCCTCCGGGATGACAGGGGCGATGGTCGGGCTGGTTGCGCCTTACTAATTAAAAATTCTGTAACATTTTCCCAAATTGATATTCCCACTCACAGTACTAACCTCCACATTGTTGCAGCCAGAGCCCTTAGTATGTCAATAATTTCAATTTATATACCTCACCCTAATTTGGAACTGCTTGTAGAGCTGAACAGCTTACTCTCTCGCATTCCTGGACCCCTTGTTATCCTGGGAGACTAACTGCAAACATGAATTATGGGGATCCTCCTCTTGTGACCCTCTATCTACCTATCTAATAGAGGCATTTGATGACCTGAATGTCTGCGTTCTAAATGATGGTTCACCCACACGCAGAGTCGCTCCTGACCAGAACCCTAGTGCAGTTGATTTATCCCTTGCTTCCTCATCATTGGCCCCTTTAGCCTCTTGGAAGGTTCTCCCAAACACATATGGTAGTGACCACTTTCCAATTCTCACAACTCTTCATACCTCACCAATTCACCCTAAGGAATGCTCTCCCCTTTTAAAATACCGTACCAATAAAGCAGACTGGAATACTTACTCTTCCCTACTCGATAGTGAGATCAGATCTCTCGAGCCAGTCAACAATGACAACTTTTTGGCACAATATAATAAACTTATTGAGGCGATTCATAATGCAGCAAGTAGCGCGATTCCTTTAAAGAACTCTGCCATGAGGAAGCTTCCCTCCCCTCCATGGTGGGACTCAGATTGCACCCAAAGCACCCGCGAAAGAAAAGCCGCTGAGAATATTTATGCTAATAATTTGACCCTAGAAAACTACTTCCAGTATAAAAAAGCAGCAGCTAAGACCCGTAGACTCCTGTCAAAGAAGAAATCCCAAGGTTGGAGAGACTTTTGTGAATCACTTTCACCACGTACACCGCCATCTTTAGTATGGAAAAAAATTCAATCTTTCAAGAGGTCGTTGACTAATGATTATGGTACCCGGTCCAATGACACTGATCCCTGGCTGTCACACTTCACAGACAAATTAGCTCCCCCATATGTCCCACCAAAGGATTGTCTACCCACACCTACATCTTCAACTACTGTTCCCCCAGGGGATGCAATGAACGAGGAGTTTTCCTATGCAGAACTTGCCTGTGCACTGGATAATCTAAAGGATTCTTCTCCAGGCATAGATGGGCTCACATATTCTTCTGTTTCCAAGTCCTCCCATTTTACTAAATTATATTTCCTCAATTTAATTAATTTTTTTTTTCTAACAGGTGTAGTACCAAGAGATTGGAAATCCCAAATTATTGTCCCAATTTTAAAATCTGGCAAGAACCCAAACGAAGCTCATTCATACAGACCAATCGCCCTCTCCTCAGTAATGGCTAAAATCATGGAACACCTCATAAAGAATAGACTAGAATGGATACTAGAAAATAGAGGCCTTCTATCTACCACTCAGTTCGGCTTTAGAAGAGGTCTCGGTACAACCGACAGTCTCAGTATCCTAACAACTGACATCCGAGCCGCTCTTTCTCGAAATGACCATGTAATAGGAGTATTCCTTGACGTTGAGTCTGCGTATGACAATGTTTGCCTCCCGATACTCAAGCAGAAATTGCTACAGCTGAGTATTCCCGAGAGAATAGTTAACCTTACTTGCAACCTCTTCATGGAACGCTCTATAATGATCCGCAACCAGGGCAACAACCAACCTCCCAGGTATGTATGGAAGGGCCTCCCTCAGGGCTCGGTCCTTAGTCCCCTCCTTTATAACTGTTATACCTATGACTTGGATAGAACAGTAAACTGTTTCTGCAACATCCTGCAATATGCAGATGACTTAGCTTTATATGCAAGCGCTACAACAGTTGTCGAAGCTTCCAATAGATTAAACACCGCCTTACACTATTTGAATGAATGGTTTAAAAATCACGGCCTCTCTATCTCAGCTAATAAATCCAATGCAATTTTATTCAGTAGGAAAAGAACCCCCCCCCCCCCAATTTAATCTCCTTTTAGAAGGCCAATCTATAAAATCCCAAGACTCTGTAAAATTTCTCGGCTTTGTTTTAGATGCAAAACTCTCAGGGAGGTCTCCCCCACCTCAACTATATATGTAAAAAGGTAGAATCAAGTATCAACATCATGCGCGCTCTCTCTGGAGTGCGCTGGGGCTCTCACCCTTATTCTCAAAAAATCCTATATAACGCCATCGTCCGTAGCCATTTCGACTATGGCTGCTTCCTTTTGGAACCATGCCAAAAACTTGTATGTATGTATGTAATATATTTATTCATAAAAAGTTACACTTTCATTTAAATCATGCCCCGCAAAACTGCTTACGCAGTTTGACTGCAGGTAACTCGCTTTATATAAACATAGCTTATAAATTATTAAATTAGGTGATATTAATACAATTAATTTACGTAATAAGTTACAACGTATTTAACAAGTGTTTTTTTAATAAACTTTTAAATTTAGTAAGTTTAGGCTCACGTCTTATGTCCTCGGGTAAACTATTGAGTAAGTATGGAACTCGTTTTTTTAACGTTCTATCTCCATAGTAATTTTGTACCATAGGTATTTCAAATTTACCTTTGGACATTGACCTTGTGCCAGTTTTATGTTGCACCAAATTAGTGAAACGATCCTGTTTACTATGATTGTTTACAAGTAGAAGGTATTTATGTTTCAGGCTAGCCGGTAAAATTTTACATATTTTATATAGTTTAGAGTAATCTCCTTTACATTGATTCTTTGTCTTTTTATTTACGAGTAATTTTAAAAATCTTGTTTGCAATGATTCTATTTTATTTATGTATGTTTTAAATGTTAATCCATAGCAATCAAGAGCGTAACCAATTATGCAATCCACTAGTGCAAAATATAAACATTTTAGTATTGGCAATGGAACTTTAAAACTTAAATGATAAAACTTTTCCAGTAATACTCTTAATTTTTTACATACGTATTCTATGTGAGAATCCCAGGAAAAGGAGGTATCTATTTTTACTCCTAGGTAATTTACACAATTAACTTTTTCGATAGGATTACACTTGCAGTTAATTTTATTATTATGGAAGCAATCAAAGTCGTGTGCAATCAGAGGAGGCGGATTATCAATAGTACGTAAATACGGGGAGTGAATAATTAGCATTTTTGTTTTGTCTGCGTTTAATATGATGCCGTTATCATGTGACCATTTAACTACCGCATCCACATCCTCTTGTACCCGGCGACACATTTCCGCGAGGTCTGTACCAGCGCTCAGAGTACAAAGGTCATCGGCAAACATGTGGGCGGAGCAGTGACGTAATACTCCACAGAGGCTATTTACGTGCATCAGGTAGCACACAGGCCCACACCCGGAACCCTGGGGGACGCCGCAGTTTACTTGTTTCTCCTCGCTGAACGTGTCGCCGACTTTCACACGGTAAGAGCGCGCCCTGAGATAGTCGCTGAACCAAGAGTTCAGCGGCTGCCCCAGGCCGCACTCCTCCATTCCATTTAAGAGGGTCTCAGTCTGTAGGGTATCGAAAGCCTTTCTAAAGTCATAAAAAACAGCTAGTATAATTTTTTTATTTTCCAAATGTGCATTAATTTCGTCTGTAAAGTTTGATAATAAGGTGTTGGTGCTTTTATTTTTCTGGAAGCCATGTTGACTTTCTGTTAAGATATTATTTTGCTGTAAAAAAGTTCCTATTTGATTGACAACACATTTTTCCATAATTTTATCAATACTTGATAGTATAGCTATCGGTCTATAATTCGAAAAGACTTTACGATCTCCTCTCTTATAGATTGGACGAATGATTGCTTCCTTTAATTTTTGTGGAAATTTATGATATTCTACAGACAGATTTATCAGCTTAGATAAAACAGGGCTAATCTTATCAATAATTATTTTTAAATCAGACATGCGTATAAGATCACTGCCCGGTGACTTATTTTTATTCATTTTATCAATTATTAGTTTTATGTCCTTGCTATCAACCGGTTGCCATCTCATACACACATTAGATAGTTTAACATAAGTCTTCCTTTCCAGCCATTTTTCATGACAGGAGTGCTTTATTTGATCAATTTCATTTGAGAATGTATCAGCAAATTCATTACAGACTGCCTGCGTGCCGCCTTGTCTAGTTATGTTACTTAAGATTAGATTATCCAGAGACTGCTTATTTTTACCCAATAACTCATTAATTTTATCCCAAACTTTTTTAATATTATTATTACAATCTAAGATCGTTTTTTTATCATGTTCTACGTTACATTTAAAAATTGACTTTTGACATTTGTTTCTGTACCTAGTATAAGTTAATCTTTTTACCATATTCTTTGGATCGCTACACCAAATTTTGAATAATCTATCTTTTTCAAGAACCATATTTTTTAAGCTTTTGTTTATCCAATACTTTTCATTCCTAAAGTCCCTGTTTCCAGTCATATTTTTTACTTTAAAGCATTGGTTGTATATGTCTCTAAATAAAGTTGATAGCTCTTCGTATAATTTAACTGGGCAATCAATATTTAAGAGATGATCGAAGTTGGTTTCTAATAATTTCTCTCTGACCAATCTATTATCAAGCACACGGCGGCGGCGCTGGGCCGCGTTAATGGCGGGCGCAGCGTGTAATTCACACATCTTGTCCGAGTGAGCTACCTTCGGGGTCTGTTTCCATTGTACAGATGCCGCGACCAAATAATGATCAGATATTTTATGTTTTATTACTGCAGAATCGATTAGTGCTGAGGATGATTTAATAAATATATGATCTAAACATGATTCGACTACATTACCCATTAAAATCTCCCTTCTCGTCACGTCTTTAATACATTTTGTAAAACCATGTTCGGCTAATAAATCTTCATAACATTTTACATATTTTTCTGTATCTTTTAATAAATTTATGTTTATATCCCCGCAAATAATTACTTTGTTAATAGTAGATAATGACTGTAAAAGTTTTTCAAAGTAGGTTAAAAAAACTTGGATTTTATTCTGATTATTGTATCTTGGTGGACGATATATTGAAGTAATGTGTAATTGCTCACCTTGCCAGTCGCAAACAATGGAAACAGACTCAGCCGCGCACTCGCCGTTCACAAGGATAGGTTTCTGATTAAGCCGCGCGCACAACCCCGCGCGAGAGTAAACCAACACTCCTCCACCTCTTCGCCCACAACGAGTGTGTACATTAACATTGAATCCAGGAATGCTATAAAATGTTAACAATGAATAATTGATGTTAGGTTCTGTTATTACTAATATATCTATATAATTTAAATGATTATTAAGTGCTACTAAAAGTTCTGAAAAATGCTTTTTTATAGAACGAATATTTACGTGAATAATACAGAGTTCTTTTTTGTAGATACTTTGACTTATCCAATTATCTATGCTATCAGTACATACATAATTAATAGATTCATCATCACTTATTAAGTCCAATTGAAATGATTCGTTGAATTTTATAAGAACAGTTAAACACAAACATACCAGTTATTAAGTAGTTACTAAAAAAGACTTCAGTTTTTGTTAAGTAAGGCCACAATTTCACTTTCATTACGAATGCATATTGATTTTTCACCTTCACTTTTTTTAACTAGAATTTTGCCACTAGATACCCATATGTACTTGTATACGCCATGAAGCTGCTTCTTCGTGTTCCACAGCAGGGTTCTAGTTACCTTAGTAAGTGCTTCGTTGATGTATATTTTGTTGGTGGCCGACCCACCTGTGATTTTATCACTCGTCACCTCCATCAATTTACGGCGTTTCACCAACCAGGTGTCACGGGAGTCAGCTCCTGAGGCCTTAAATTTCACCACTATAGGTGCCGGTTTTGCGCTAGTTTTCAGAGGGCGGGGGGTCGTGGTTCGCCTGGCCCACTCGATTTCTGAAGTACTTACATTAATTGTGTCCGCAACCATAGTAATAAGCTGTTCGAGATTTTCACCTGTTAATTTTTCGATGCCCACTATTTCTATGCAATTATTTAGAGAAGCCTGCTCGAATTCGTGGATCTTCTGTTCAAGCGCAACGTTGCACTTCTCTAAATACACACACTTATTGTTTATATTTACAACCGTCTTCTCCAATCTACTGATCTTTTCCCGTGATTGCTGGTTTTCTGCAATTATTGAATCGTACTTATCTGATAACAAACTCAGGCTTTGCGTTATTTCATCAAGGTGTGTTTTAACTTGCGGTATTGCACCAACCTTTTTCTGGATGTCCTTCAGTATTTTTTCTTCAATTAAAGAGACCAACTCAGTCTTTAGTTTGGACAAAAGCGATGATTCCATGTTTCTAAAGTATTCATCTAAGTTCCCCGCCGCCGACGGTAAGGGTGCGTGGGGCGGAGGACTGTTGAACATTGACTTAACAGGAGTATTATCGTCGTTTTTTGGAGGTAATTTACAGGCTGGACACTTCCAGTTTGACTTAGTTTTAGCCGCAAGTTTACCGAAAGAGGTCTTTGTGTATCCAACACAGCCGTAATGGAAGTTATTTTTACATTCAAAACAACAAATTTTATCAGTGACACTGATGAGCTGTTGACAACCAAAACACGAACTCATTGTGTGGGTATGCACTTGAGGCGGAATAAAATTATAAACGAAGATGCAACGCTAGTCACTCGAGTTTGCGATTAAAAGGGCCTAAGCGCCGTGCAGCAACCGTCACTTACGCGTTTTACCGCGACGTCTTTCACTGTTCACCACTGACGATGCTAAATCAAACTTATAAAATATTATTCACAAATTCTACTTAAACTGACTAATATTTTTTAAATACAATTAAACGATAATATTGGCTGTCACTTGAATTTTCTTCTTAAACAAAAATTGAGAAGAAAGTGTAACTTTTAACAAGTAAAACTTTAAAATATATTGGTGTAAAATATACATATTATTATGGTTATTAATAATAACTTGCCTTATGTAAACTCGATAAATTACAATCCAGATGCCTACGAATTGTTACAGGCGCCAGAAAGTCATCCCCCATCAATGCACTGCAGGTGGAGTGTGCTGAGCCTCCTCTACACCTGCGTAGACAATACCTAAGTGACAGATACCTGTGCAATGTTCTCCAAATATCTACACATCCCCTATTAGAAAAACTTAGAATACTGAGTGAACTTGTCCGTAATTCTGCATACTGGAACCATAAGGTCCCTCCAGCATTAATAAAAAGCTTAAACAAGTTATTCAACTTACCCACTATACACCAAACAGGAAAAAATCCAATCTTCGAAATCAACTACAAATCACTTATTTACCAACCCAAAATCTTGCTCAACACTGGGATTGACGGAAACACCACAAATGCTAACGAAAAGTTCAATAACATTCTAACACAAAACTGGAATGAATGGCTTCATATTTTCACTGATGCTTCAAAATTATCTGATGACAGCAATGTTGGATCAGCTGTGTGGATCCCTAAATACAAAATTTTACTAAACTTCAAATGCCCCCCTCAAGCCTCAGTATACATTGGAGAAATCATTGCAATTCTTGAAGCAATACTGTACGCAGAATACCACAAGTTAAATAAATGCATTATATTCACGGACTCGCTCAGCTGTTTGCAGGATATACAAAAACTACCATTCCACTCCAGATATAATTTTTACATTACCTTACAAACCAAAGACGCGCTGGCGAGGTGCGCATCCGCTGGCATTGAGCTGATTTTAGCCTGGATTCCGGGCCACAGGGGTATCATTGGCAATGAAACAGCTGACCTTTTCGCAAAAGAAGCAACTCAAAATGGAAGCCTGTCTTATTACAGATGCTACCCCCGTGATCTTCGTACATTGGCAAGACCTCAGATTTATAAATCATGGGACTTTCTTTGGCAACAGTCCAGAACTGTTAAGGGTATATATTACGGCAACTTACAACCTGATATTCCACGCAAACCCTGGTTTTTCCGCCAGCGCAACATGAATAAATTCATCACTTCTATAATAATCAGGCTACGCCTGGGACACGTAAATACACCAGTTTTCCTTGCTAAACTCCGTATTCGGGACAACTCCTTGTGTGAGTGTGGACTAGAGGACGGCACCGTGGAACACATATTCTTTAGATGTCTGAATATCCAGGTACATTTATATGACCTATTACCTAAAAATATCCCAAGACCAGTAAATATTCCGTTCCTATTAACGCAGGTCAATTCACCCTTTATTAAAGTACTAGGAAAGTTTATAAAGGCTAACAACATTGTCTTATGATGTCCAAACTATTTATATACTTTGCCTTGTCACCTCTTACAATCCAACTCCAATGCTTTACTACAGTAATAAAGACACTAACATTTTGTATGCTTGGGTACATGTCCGCTTGTGATGTTATATGTGTTGTCCTATTCTAGAATCTCAACTCCACGCGATAGCTCCACGTAGTAACCGGGCTACCACACCGTACAAAGAAGAGTACCGATATAACAGTGCCTTTCTTAACCCTGACATTGGCAGAATCATCGTGCATAACGATGGAGCCATAATACCCAAAGTGGAAGTGGAAGTGGAATATTTTTTAACCGACTTCTAAATGGAGAAGGTTCTCAATTCCTCAGTATATAAATATATTTTATTGTTGTTCGCACATATCTCGTATATGCATGAACCGATTTTGATGATTATTTTTTTGTTTAAAACAGTTTTTTGGCGAAATGCTTCCATATTAATTTAGTGAAGATCTGATAAGTACTTTCAGAGACAATGGAACTTCTCAGTTACATACAGTACTCAAGTTGTGTTTGGTTTTTTGAATAAATTTGATTGATACAATGTAGGCCAGGTACTAGTACTATACTTAGTAGTATTGCCCAAATTCAGTCTTGGTCTTGTTCTTGCATTTTTGCAAGACCAAGACCAAGAACAAGACCGCGTATTTTTAGCAAGACCAAGACCAAGACTGACCGTGCAAGACTTGAGAAAGAACAAGACTAATCCAGCAAGACTCTTGCGTCTTGCAGCTAGGACTTAGCGCTATTTCACGGAGTAGTTAGGTATAATAGTTTGGTGTATAGGTACGCTTAGGAATTCTATGAGACGCAAAAAACTGTATCAAAAAATATGATAAACTGGACCTATGCGCATTACGACCAATACCATAAACATACATAGCAAATAAAAAAATATCCATTAAAATCAAACAGAGTGCATGCATAGTTTTGTTTTAACCATTGGCACTTTGATAATGCGGCATCAAAGGTTTTGTACTGACTTCTCAAAGAAATTTGCCGCTTTTCGGAAGTACATGGTGATGATACACGCGTCGGCGGCTTCTATTGAAATCACATACAACAATCGTTGCCGCCGCGCCTAAATCACAACATTTGACACTATTTGATTGCCGCCACAGGGCCTAGGTATACTCATGCAAAATTCTAATTTCGTGTCGTGCCGTCCCACTCACGCTAATACTATTTAATATATGAGCGAGCGAGCGAGACGGTACGACACGAACTTCGATTTTCGAATTTTAGAGTACAGGTGTTCCAAAGAATAAATAAGTTTCAGAGTGCTTAGAATTTAAACGAATACATTATACTTGATCACGCAAGTAGTATTATGATTAAATAATGGTAAGGATAGGTAGTAGATGTCATAATAATTTATTCTAGTAAGTATATATTATAATATTGATTATATGAGATTATGATTCTTTACTATGGCTATGTTAATTCAAGCTCACAAAGTTCCAATTCTAATACGTTTTTCTAAGATCTAAAGTAAACTTTAATAAATAGCAATAGTCTATGTGCCCATGGTTTACACGGAAAGGTCTGCCGATTCCATCAATAGCGACTTTTTTGTATCTGTCTGCCGCCACGACGCCTTGATAAGAGATTAAAGGCGTTCTAGCCCCAATCATAATACCACCCCAAAGGGACACTAATTTCCCGCCTTGCTGAACCGTTCCAGTGGCAGTTCTTTGACTTTCGGTCCCATGGTCTTCTTGAAGCACGGACACTTCCGTTTTCAGGATGAGTACTGATTCGCGATTCAACGAAGTGGCAGTTTTGCCAAATGTTTTCCTCTTCGTCTTCTTCGTTTTGCCGGAGCCTAGCTCACTGTAATCTCTTCCCGTGAATTCAAAGGTGCTCGCCAAGACCTCCGTGCTCGTAATCCAGCCTTGTGTAAGCAATTCCGAATGATCTGAGTGCTAACTTCAAGTCCGGAGGCGGCCTGTATTTCTGCTTTTAATAGTGGCGTTTATCGTTGGGTCGCGGGCTACCAGCAACCTGAAGTAGCGCTTCTACGCACGCACTAGCAAACAGTTGGGCGACCTCTGCGGGGTCGATCAGCTAAATTACCCATGCCGTGGTACCTCTGCAACGTGGTTACTACACAGGATTGGGATATGGCAACTCTGCGTGCTATTTCTCTCGTAGAATAGGCTTCTTCCCTCAAAGTTACAATTCTGGCTCGTAAAACATCTGATAATCCTCGTGGCATTTTTTAAATCACAACTTCCCGTGAAAAAATATTTTAAATTCGATAATATTGACTAAGTCAGATTTCTGAATGAGTGTCAGCTTGGATTGCATGTCTTTTTATACGGAAAAACAATTGTATTATTTTATTGTTTTACGTTCTAATTCTAATTTTAAAATTTAGAATCTTATCAGAAAAACAAATTACAAAAAGGTCTTCTGTAACACAAAATACAATCTATTTTTCAAAGTGATCGCAAACTTTTTTTGATGTGTGTATGTTGAAAGCTAAGAATCTTAAACCTTTAATTTAGCCATAATAATAGCATGCAAAAAATTCTAACATATTAAAACATAACAGTCATATTACAGTATTCTCATTTTACCTATCATTAATTTAATAACAAGTATTTGATCATTAATTTATTAATTTCATTTGAAATGTATGTCAATATTTATGTGTGCAGCCGGTGCCCAAAAAAGGAGATCGCTCAGACCTGGCCAACGATCGATAGCTGTCACCCCGGTGTTGTGCAGTCTTAGAAAGGGTCCTTAATAATCATCTCACCCGCTACCTAGAAGACCACTCTCTGATCCACGATTGCACAAAACAGATTTAGGCCGAATCGATTGACAGGTGGGTGACCTTCTAGCGTACGTGATGTCACGTACCGTGACACACATCTAGGATGAGGCTATAGGCAAGCGGGGTGAGTTTCAATATCAGACTTGACTTCGCCAAGGCTTTTGACTGGGTCCGGCACAAGTTTTCTCTTCAAGCTTCCGGCATACGGTCTGCCTACTCAGTTCTGTGCCTGGGTGGCTGACTTACTGCTTGAGCGAAGAATTCGTGTCCTCACAGACGGATGTAGTTCGCAGTTTATGTCAGTGAATGCCGGTGTTCTTCAGGGCTCCGTCCTATCCCCCACACTCTTTCTACGGCATATCAATGATTTAATACCTCACGTCGCCATTCTTTCCCTCTTTTCAGGGCACAACATTACCATTCCCAAAATGGATGTTCGCTGTGATCTGGATCCAAGAGACTACATTGAAACCGTGATAAAAACAGCTTCACGAAAACACGAGAGTCTTAAACAAGGTGCGGAGTTTTTTCACGCCCGATTAACTATGCTTGTTGTACACGACGCAGGTGCGGTCCTGCATGGAATATTGCTCCCCCCACGGTGATGACTCTGCTAAGTACGCACTCTATGACTTGGATAGGTTGCAACGGCGCGCTGCCCGCATCATTGGCGATGAAGAGGTAACTAACCAACTCGAGTCTACAATTACGCGGTGATGAGGCATCATTATGCGCATTCTTCTGACTATTCCACGGCGGTGTTTTGAGGAGTTATTCTCCCTTACTCTCCATCCCCTTTTCTTCTGGGGATTACACGCGCTGGCCTACGTTGTCACCGACTAACTGTGGTCACTATTTCCACACGAACAAAGAAATTTGTGACTCATTTATTCGCAAGTGGAATTCTTTGCCCGCGCACTCGTTCCCCCTTCCTACAATCTGGGGTCCTTTAGGAGAGGCGTGAAGAAGCATTTCTGCAGGCCGGCGAAGTGAGGATCTTCGCGTATGGACTTTATCACCACTTAACATCACGCGGGGTTGAGTCAGTTGCCTAAATAGATATATAAAAAATTAGGTTGTAGTACTTCTGTAGTAGGGATTTATTTTAGTTTATTTGTGCAAACAAACAGTGCCAAATTACAAAGTAAGTAAAGTATTGACGTTATACATTTAATAATCTTGACACAACATCGTTTACAACAGATTTGATTTAAAAATATAGGCATTGTTCAAAGTAGCTACTAATTTTACAAATACAACAATTGCTACTTTACGGTTTTTTTTTGTTTTTATTATATTTTATTTAAGTTTTTGCAGAATAAACTTACTACTATTTTAATATAATAATGAATTCAGACACCTTACAGGAATTCAAGTTACAGGCAATTTAACTAGAACCATTTATTTGAAAATAGTGGGTCGTTTGTCTGCAATATCAATCATATTAAATGATGTATTGAAACTAGGGGTAAGACGATAAATAGGAGAACGCTTACCTGCGTTAGTTCTGCACAGAGGGGTTGCAAAAACTTTACACGAGGTACGGCTATGAGTTTTAGTGGGTACCCTATATGAGTTATTGTTTTTAGGATAATGCAATCGTATCTGCTATGGCAAAGATCATACAACGTCATTATTTCTAATAGTGTGCGCCGGTGTTCTAGTTTCAAGAGTTCGTATATACGAGGTAAATGCTCATAAGAAAGACGACTTCGAGTACATCTGTAATGCATGTCTTTCAGGAATTTCCTCTAAACCACTTTAATTTGATCTACATACTTGGCATAAAACGGGTTCCAAACGGGCATAGCATACTCAAATTGAGAACGAATTAGAGACTTATAAATGTATGTTGAAGGTTTTTTTTAATTTTTTACTGTCCCGAATAACAAAACCGTGCATTTTAAGGGCATTATTAACTATGACATCAATATATTAAGGTGTAACTCCGAATCAAGAAACACCCCCAAATCCCTTATTGAGTCAACTCTCTCTAGTTACTCATCATTTAATTTGTAATCATAAAACATTTTATTAAGTTTTTATGTAAATGTAATTGTTTTGCATTTACTGAGTTTTTTTCTCGGGTTTAGTTGTTGTTGGAACAGTTTGTGAAGAATCTGTCGAGATCATCCTGAAAATCCAGGCATTCTCGACTATTATCTACTAAACGATAGATTTTCATGTCGTCTGCATACAGTTGATAGTGGCAAAACTTAAAGGAAGCAGATATGTCATTAATAAATAGAATAAATAGCTATGGCCCGAGGATAGACCCCTGTAGAACGCCTGAGCTCACCTGAACCAGATCAGATTCATAGCCATTAATAACGATTAGTGATATACGACTTCAACCATGTCCATATGTCACCTCTATTGCCGTTATATGCAAGTTTCTCCAGTAATATTTTATAATCAAGCCTGTCGAATGCTTTCTGAAAATCTGTATAAATGCTATCAACTTGTTTGTTACTATCAATGCCATCAAATAAATATGTTGTGTATAATAATAGGTTGGTAGTAGTGGATCTCTGTTTTACAAAACCATGCTGTTGTTCTATTATCACATTATTCAAACAGGGATATATCATGAACCAGTCTCTCAAAAAGCTTCGACGACTGACAATATTGCTATAGGTTGGTGACTTTCAACGTTAGATCTAGCTCCGCTCTTGAAAACGGGTACAATACGTGTTGACTTCCAGATTGTAGGGAATATTTCTTGCTGAAGACATAAGTTGAGGATAAAATGCAGCGGCTAATATATTTTATTTGCTGTACATTTTAAGAATATTGGGGGAATATTGTCAATTCCTGGCCCTTTAGAAACATCCTAGTTAAGTAATGTTTTTAATACACAATCAGGCGAAATTTGAATGTTACTAATAATAAGATCCGATGTGTGAATATTTTCTGGGATTTGAGTAATATCCAAATCTATTTCAACGTTACTATGTTCAAAAACTGAGGCAGAAACCTTCAGGGTTGTCGGCTCTACACCCCTAAATCCGGACCTGTCTCTAATGATCACTCAAGAAAAGGGGACTTTGTAACCAACTGTATTGAGAGATATTGTTTTAAACTTTTATGGTCACATTATAGTAATTAACTAGATTGTTACCAAACATCGGAGACTCATAAAAACAAGGTACATGGTAACAATCCCGTTGATAACTATAATGCATTTTTTAAGTTTTCTGAAATAAAAGGGCGTTAGGTGGGAAAGAGCGATTAGAGCATAATGACAGCTGTGAAGTTAACTCAAGTTGCAGCGCAACAAGAACTGAGCGATACCCATGAAATTGACAAGGGCGGTTTTTAAAATCTGGCGACTTACGATGCCCCCCCCCCCCCTCTAGGATTAGTATTTCAAATCAAAATATAGGTCAGTAAAAGAAGTTTTTATATGGCTTCTGCTTCCCCGTGCCATGTCCCTCTTGGCTCTAGGGTAAATACGGCCAAGCCATTGTCGTGGATACAATGCACGTTTTCTCCCCGTCATCGAAAAGAAGGGTAAATACGCCATCATTGTTGCGTCTCTCTCACACTTATCTGTCTGGTTTTATTTTACAGTTAAAACAAATGACTTTTCCCTTTTCCTGCATTTAATTTGGACGAATGCTTAGAGATACTAAGACTTAAGTATGAAATAGAAAGTTATGATGATGAGTGATGGATAGTGATTCAAGATAAAGGTTTATGTTTAATAGTAGTTTGAGAGCAAAACCTTTAGTGCAAACCGAAGCGAAGCGAGGGCCGGTGAGCGTCATGCTCGTGAACGGGTGCTGCCAGAGGAGAAGAGTCTGCTCTTGCTACATTGGGTACAATTTTAGTTTTTTTATGCCAAATAGCGTTAATATGTCTGAATAAAAAATAAACATTATAAAGTTTTGGAATTTATTTTAAAATTACCAGCCTATACAAGTTTATATACATGGTATTATTTAATGATATGTCATCACTGTGAATCACTATCACTGCCTGAATAGTTTGCTAACAATGAAAGTCCACTAGCAGCTGTGGTATAACTTTTGCTTTCACTCTGTTCATCTTTCCTAACATTCTTATTTTCTACGGGAGTACTTATATTGTCAGTGATTCTTTGAGGATTACTTACAGATTTGTCATCTGCAACATTTGATGTCGATTCTTGCTTCTTCTTGACAAGGTTATTCAACAGTGGCTTCTTAGACAATACTCCTATACTTTTGTTCCAGGTTTCTGCTTTTCTTTGTTCAGCAGCTTTAGGAGGTATGACTTCAATTCTAGGAGTTTTTGCAGGCGGTTCATCAACTTCTTGTACTTCCTCGATAATTTCTTCTGCGACGACTTTATTTGTTGATGTACTCCCAAATTTGATGGATCTGAAAAACATTGGATTTTTTACAATTAGAATAAGCCATGGTCATAAATAGAATTAAATAAAAAAAATAGCTAATATCATATCAGACGGTTGCGTATGGTTATGGTAATCATAAGTGCTTTTTAACCGACTTCAAAAAAGGAGGAGGTTCTATTCGACTTCGACTGTATGTATTTTTTTTTATGTTCACCGATTTCTCCGTCTATTGTGGACCGATTTTCAAAATTCTTTTTTTACTCGAAAGAGTGCACTTCCAAGGTGGTCCCATTGGAACCAAGTCAGGATCTGATGGTGGAATCCGGGGAAATCGAGGGAAACCTTCAAATTTCAAAGGCACGCACGATGTTTTTATGAATGTTCACCGATTTCTCCGTCAATTGTGTTATTGTTTACTTGGACGATGTAATTTTCACTAAAATGGATGAAATAAAAAAAATTAAACAAAAAATAAAACTGACTTCAAAATCGAAAATGGAGCTAAAAAGTAAAACATAATATCTGGTTCATGATTTGGAAGTCGGGCGGGGTCTCAATTGACCGTCGTATTTATAAACTAGTAAAAGACATAAGTTCTGCTTATGCTTTGACTTAAAAAACAATTTTCATTTCATACTTAGGATATAGATCAAAGTGAAAGAAGGCCAAAGGGGAAGTTCTTCTTCCGAGCTGGATGATGTTAGCTCGGGGGCCGCGACTGTTTTTTTTAATGTGTATGCTGCTGGCCGCAGATGATCTTTACAGCGTCACCGGGTTTGGGGACGGCGAGATCCTAAGGGGATCTCAAGCCGAGAATTGGCGAGTGCCCCGTGAGGTATTCCAGGAGGATGGGGGAGACGGGGGTAGTCTCCTCTCCGTCTGGAGCCCTTAGACCACTCGAACCTGAAGGGGTCGGCTCAACTAGGGGGCGTCTCTGAGACTCGGACCATGGCTCTAGTAAGCCGTTGTCGTGGGGAACGGGGAAAAACGCCCAGTTACGTACCTGTACCTGGTATAGCGTGTCGTGTGCCTAGGCCGACGGAATCGGAGGGACCTACGATTGGAGGACGGGAGGGCGGACGTATGATAACTAATCGCTTTAACTACTAAGGGGTTCGGGTGATGCGCGGCTTTGTCGAAGTGACGCCGCGAGGCGTCCGCCATATACTTCGCGATGGAGTCTAATTTGAGGTCGCGATGCAAATTGATGTTGCGCACATACCACGGGCAACCCGTGGCACCACGCAACACACGATTTTGCAGCGTTTGTAGTGGTTAAAGACGCGACGGAGGTACGTGGGCGAAGCAAACACTCGCGTAGGTCATGATAGGGCGGATGCAAGTTTTGTAAATTGTCAACTTATGCCTAAGTGACATCTTACTACGCTTCCCTATGAGGTGGAATAGCCTGCCACGAATGAATGCTGCTCGATCGCGAACTATCTTGAGATGAGGTGCAAACGTTAATCGGTTATCTAACGTAACTCCCAAGTACTTGACCCGGTCCTCCCAGGGGATGACCCGGTCAAATAATTGGATGCTCGGAAGAGAACGCGTGGGAGGCGGTGTCGTGCTAAAGAGGATCGCGACACTTTTCTCCGGATTAACCTCGATACGCCATCTACGGGACCAATCGCTAAGGGTGGTAGCGACTGATTGAAGTCTATTACAGACTTCCGAGACGTCTATCGGAGGTATAGAGAGCGGTGTCGTCGGCGAAAAGCGCGAGATCGACCTTAGGAGTCTTGGGCATGTCGTTCGTAAAGATCGAGTAGAGGATATAACGAGCCCTGAGGGATGCCGGCGCGTATAGGGCGAGGTGGTGAGAGCGTTCCTTTGACGCGATAGCGAATCACCAGAGCCAAGGGCCATCGTGTTGCCCGAGACAGAAGGGCGCGCGCGGTCGCGGTTACGGACGCGGGTTTGGTGGGTTGAGCCGCCGGCGGCTTGGAGAGCCCTTGAGGAGGGTTCTTGTGAGGGACCGCGGGGGAGGGCGTCGGTGGCTGGGAAGCAGCCACTTTACGCCATGCGTTGGGTGCGGGGGGCGCGAATATGGAAGCGGGGCGGAGGGAGATCGTTAATGTTAACGTTGATGATGTTGGTCGGGCTTCGTATATATCGAGCGTTAGCTTCCGAATTTCACCTGCGCGATTCAGGCTTCCATACGTTGTAAGCGCAGCGCCGTTAGTGCCACCTCTTGAGGAGGCGAGTGACTATTTCCTCCATGTTGATTATATGTGGGGCAGGTAGATGTAGCCACCACAAAAGTAAGAACTGACAAAAAGAGAATTCTTATAAGTCGTGCCATTAACGAAACGAATCGAAAATGCCGACACAAGACATTCATTCTGTCTCCCTCACAAGTTACTGAAGGCAGCATGTGTGAGAGGGACAAAATATATGACGTACATCCGCGATTAATTTTTGGACGGTATATCGGATGGGCTATCCGAAAATTTATTGTCACAACCTAGCGAGGCAGGGCAACTAGCTTGGCAGCTGGGCGGGTAAATGAAAAGTGAGGTGGGCAATCACTGACGGTGGTGGTTGTGGACTTGATTTAAAGTTTTGTTTGATAAGTTATAGAACGGGAACGTGTGCGATGGATCGTTAGCGGAGCCGATGGTCCGCACTGGGCGCAGCGTGGATACGTACGTAGGATACTTTTTTTAATAGAATAGGAAGATAGGGCCATGATTCACCACGCGGGACCAGTGTGGATTGGTGAGTGGTATAAAAATAATTTTAACTTCATTCCCACCAAGTGTTCCACAACACACTTTATTAAAGAGTTCTAGTGTCAAAAAATTACTTGGTTACTTAGCTTTAGCAACAAGCAAATACTTCTAAAGAAAATTTTACTAGAAAAATTGCACGCTGTCCAGGAAGTAAACAAAAACCACACCAACCATTATCTGGGCGGATACACTGACCAATTAGGCTACTAGGAGCTTAATGGCAGTTTATTTATGTCTAGTGTTGCCCAAATTCAGTCTTGGTCTTGCAGTCTTTGTCTTGTTCTTGCATTTTTGCAAGACCAAGACCAAGAACAAGACCGCGTATTTTTAGCAAGACCAAGACCAAGACTGACCGTGCAAGACTTGAGTAAGAACAAGACTTATCCGGCAAGACTCTTGCGTCTTGCAGCTAGGACTTAGCGCTATTTCACGGAGTAGTTAGCTATAACAGTTCGGTGTATAGGTACGCTTCGAATTCTATGAGACGCACAAAACTGTATTAAAGAATATGAAAAACTGGACCTATGCGCATTACGACCAATACAATACATACCATACCAAACATACATAGCGAATAAAAAAATAACCATTAAAATCAAACAGAGTGCATGCATAGTTTTGTTTTAACCATCGGTACTTTGATAATGCGGCATCAAAGGTTTTGTACTGACTTCTCAAAGAAATTTGCCGCTTTTCGGAAGTACAGTATACGTCTTTGGAATGCTTTGCCATTGAATATTCGCAGTGCTCGTAGTAAGTTGGAGTTTAAAAATCTAGTACGTGCACACTATCTGTCGACCTAATATTTCTGTAATCTTCAGTCATCTGTAACATCATAATTAGTTATTTCTAACTAGTTTATTATATATGTATATAATTATATGTGTATGTTTATTATATATATGTATTTATTTATATGTGTATTTATGATATTTGATTATTATCTAATATTTATTTATCGTTTATTATGGTAAAGTTAAGTAGGATAATATTATATGTTTTTATAACTTTAGTAGCTCGCACTCTATCGCCATAACATTCGTCTCTCACACCCTTACTGGTTGACTGGTAGAGAATGCCTATGGCATTAAGTCCGCCATTTACTGTATTTTGGTAAAGAAGAAAAAAATAAATAATAATAATAAATAAATAAATACATGATGATGATACACGCGCCGGCGGCTTCTATTGAAATCACATACAACAATCGTTGCCGCCGCGCCGAAATCACAACATTTGACACTACATATTTGATTGCCGCCACAGGGCCTAGGTTTACTCATGCAAAATTCTAATTTCGTGTCGTGCCGTCCCACTCACGCTAATACTATTTAATATATGAGCGAGCGAGACGGTACGACACATATATGGGTTTAAACTAATTACTTAGGTACTATTATTTTACATTTAGTCAAAATATTTCTTAAGTTTTTACAAGAAAAAATAGCAAAAAAGTGGTCAAATATCACCCGTTTGATAAATATTGTCGCCACTTAAATATACTTGAAACGTGTAAAAAAAATCTACAAAATTAATAAAATAATATAAAACGACATATAGCTCAGTTGATAACCATGTGGCAGTTGATTTTTCGAATTTCTTATCAAATCTTCAGTAGCTTTACCATGAGTTGACATCGAAAATTGACACTAAGTTATCACGGTCGTTAGCGTATACACACGCATCGAATAAATTAAACTCGCTAGCGAGGGCTCGATAGTCCGTATTATCATATTTCACACGTGTCTAACTACACGCCCAATGTAGCTGTTTCTTTCTAACTTTTCATATATGACAGAGTACGATAGTTATTCCCGAAAATAAGATAATACAAGTTATTTAAAACATCGTAGAGCAAAGCGTAAAGTTTAGCTCTAGGACAACTTTTAAATTGTATTGGGTATATAATGCCGATGACATAAATTTAGTTTCCTTGTTGTTTCGGTGTGGCTGTTTGATTTCTTTTTATTTAATAAAATGAGAACCAGTGCGTCCCTATTCCAGTTAATGGTGAATTTTATGGAAAGGTATGTGTATGGTGACGCGCTGGTAACTGCCGTGTGCATAAAATAGTAATGCGCACAAAACCTGCAATTATGTAAACAGTTAAAATATCGGCATAGGGCGAGTATAATTTCCAATTAGACTAACCTTGGATTCCAGCGAGACTCTCTGTGTTGATCTCAAATCCGTGTAATAATATACTAACAAGTCACACAAATCCTCAAAAGCTTCCTTATTAAGCCTATATTCTTTTATAAAGTTATTTTCGCTTATGTGTTTCAGGGGATTTTCAATTGTCTTTCTAATGTTAGCTTGAAAATTTGCTTGATCGTATCGTTCATCTTGATAAGTAGCTGCCGTTATCATATTCCATGCGAAATAACTTCTTGCCGACATTCTTTTCCCCAAAACTACTCCAAACTTAATAATTCTCAAACACCTTTGGTTCAATCAAACACCCTTTCACGCCTCAATTAGGCAGTGAATTACTTAACTACAGACGTAAAGGTATTTCTCGATAACATCTGTCAAATTTGTGACTCATGGTACCGAATTGTAAGGAAACTCCTTCAAAACGTTACTCACCTATCGAATAGATTTCCATAGGTTTTAATTTGTTGACTCATACTACCGATTTTAGTTCTGCGAGTTTCCGCTAGAGGCGCTGTACATTTTTTCATAGAACTTTTAATCACCGACGCTAGCGAGTTTAGTCGCTATTAACTCATGGTAAAGCTACAGACATTTATTAATCTGATTGTTCTTTACCAATAATGTTCCAATTCTAATACGTTTTTCTAAGATCTAAAGTAAACTTTAATAAATAGCAATAGTCTAATAGGTAATTGCAAGACTTGCAAGACTCTTGCTGCAAGACCAAGACCAAGACCAAGACCAAGACTGGGAGCGCAAGACCAAGACCAAGACTGGCTAAGTCTCGTCTTGTTCTTGCATTTGGGCAACACTATTTATGTCTCAGTAAATAAGTAATAAATGGGTAAAAGATGGATAATTTGTAAAAAACATAAAATTTATGATCAATGTGTGGGAAGGTTCTGTATTAAAACTCACTTGATGAATTCATTGTCTTCTTTTTCTTCTCTGGCTTTCCGCTCTTGTTCAGATTCAGGTTGGTACTGCTTGAGCATACCCTCATAGTCCACTGTACGCTGGCGCCTATTAAGCTCCTTCAGTTCTTCGAGACTCTCCAAAAGTTCTATTTCTTGCCTTGATTGTTCAGTTCTGTATTCTGTAATTATTTAAGGAATATTTATTATTGGGACTAGTCCGTTGTTAGATACCTAAACACAATCTTTCTGTCTGTTAGATCTAAAGGGGCCATGTAATTATGTCAAGAATGTGCCTGCCGTCCGCACCTCTCACGACCCACGTTCTCGTCCTCCCTACACCTTTTACCCCGCAGACGAGGATTCAGTTAAGCGGTCTACCTATACAATCTGCCCGCAGCTTCATTTGCTTGGGCACATACCCTGTTTTAACCTCTCAGGTCCTGTATATGAATTATCAAAACAAATTAACAGCAAAGATTAGTTGATAAGCTTTTTATCAATTTTCAGATTTCTTTTTTAAAAAAATTATCAAGTTCCATACAAAATGTCATCTCTTATCTATTTTTACTAATCAGGGGATGAATCTTGAAGGCAATAACATAACAGAACTTTCATTGGTAATCATAAGCTCCTTTATCATTTTAACAATCCCTGCCTTCAAAATTATTTCATTTCATAATTAAAGCTTAAGAGATTGAATTGAAGAGATTGAGCAGAAGAATTTTCGAAAAAAAATATAATTAAATAGTTATTGTTGCTCATGGATAGAAATCTAAACATTGGTAAATGAGCATAAGCTCATAAATAAATAAATTAAATAATCTACAAAATTAAAAAGAAATTTCATAGAGAAATTAACACACTTAGCGAGTTATTGGAAATTTCTTTTATCAGCATTCACATTGTTGTTTTATTCTATTCATGGAAACAAGTTTATACTGATGACATATGCTTTTTCTGGCATTGGTTAAGGTTACAGAGAAAGCCATTCTCGTGTAATAGAACACACTACAATCTTGTCTTAATGAATTAAGAATAAAAAAAATATAGTCCAGGTCCCTACTAACAAACTTAAAGGAGATAATACATACCCATATCAATCTCATGGAAAAAACTAATGATTGAATGTATTAAATGAATAAGTAATTATAGTATTGTAACATAATATTAAACAATTAAGATTAATATTGGAAAAAAAAGAGTTTAAGTCCTGAATCAAGCAGTACTATGAAAAAGTAGAAAATGTATTCTGTATAAATATTTAAATAACAATCCTACTAATATTATAATCCTACAATAAAGGACATGGTAAACTTTTGTATGAGCGACTGCCCTAGCAATGTATAAATTTTTTACTTAGTAATATACAATGCAGACTGGCAGAATATTTAAAATTTCTAGGAAAAAGGGCTCAGGAACTTTTGATAAAGTTACAATCTTGAAAATTATGAGATCTCCTACGATGTCTTTATCTTACTACATTTTTTAAAAGATGTTGCCAATTATTTACAAAGCCATTAATTTCGCATTTTCTTAGAATATTTTCTCCCATTTATCTGATTAGCACATCACAAAAAGTATTTTTAAAAGTAAAAATAAATACAAATAATTTGTTGTCGTCAGCCTGACATGATCCTGTAAAGTTTTATTTTGTTCACTTGCAAAAATTAAAGCATTATTTATCATACAGCCTTCTCTCAAGCCTGATCAGAAAAATAAAATCTATTATTTTAGGCCTTCAGTGATTTGTTATATTAAAAATAAGGGCCAAAAATGTTATAGTGTTTGGGAGTTTTGAATTAATATTGTTTATTTCGATATACTGACAGAAATATTTTTAGTATTCATTTATTGTTCATTAATTTTGAAAAACAGAACATTTTTCATTTGAAACAGGCACGAAGTAAATTTATACTTTTAAATAATTGATTATTTCACGAAAGTTGTATGAGAATTATAAATACATAATAATTAATAAAAAAATATTATAATGTACATGATAAGGGCAGTTTCTTAGCCATGTCCTTTATAAATGTGAAAGTGTCTGTATGTTTATATATCTGTATGTTTGTTACTCAATCACACAAAAACAGCTGAAGGGATTTGGATGAAATTTGTCTCACATATAGTTTATGACCTAGAATGAGACATAGGATACTTTTTACCCCAGAAAATGTGAGGTTCCTGAGGGATTCTACTAAAAGAATGTACGCAGCTGAAGACATAGGCAGCCTCTAGTGACTTATAAGGTTCGGGCTCAACACACAAAGTGCTTTCCGGTTTTCTTACCCAATAATTTCATAGGATTATTTGCTTCTTCCTCCTTCTGTTCCTCTTCCTCTCGCTTGGCTTGTTCTTCAGCCAGCTTTAAGGCCATGAAGTTTCTTGTAGCACCTGCTTCAATTTCATAATCTGTATTCTTTGGATCTGTCTTGAATGAAATCTCTTGAAGGCATCTGGTACACTGAAATTATAATACAGTGTTTTAAAAACCTAGGTATTGTTTATGATCTACAAACTACAATTAAAATGTATGCTATTATACTGGGTGGATCAAAATGATCAATTTATAGCAGGTAAATGATTTCTTCTTATTAGAATAGGTAGTCTGTTGTATAAAGACAACTAAAAACTTACTAAAATATGTTGGTGAGTGCATTACCACCATAACGGAGTAAGTAATTGTTATGGTATAAGTTTAAACTTACTTTGATATAAAATCTATAGATTCTAATACCAAGATAGTCTTCATTTTCGACATCCTCTTTTCGTGCATTAAACTTCTTTCCCTTGTAAATGTACTCTCCGCATGTGGCGCATCGCATATTGAATGGGGCCATGAGACGAACTGTGTATTGACGATTTTTTGCCAATTTCATGCGAGGAATCTTCGAAGGATCGAAGTCTGGCGGGTAGTATTTCTGTAAATATTAACATTTTCACTGAGAACAGTTTTATGTCAATTTTTGAATAAATATAAATTAGGGCAATAGGGGTTATGTTGGAATTGGATGGTAAAAATAGGAATAAGAAACTTACGTTTAAAACTTTTCTTTCAGACATCTTGGTTGTTTATTTAAAGGTTTAACTTGGAAATCTACCGAAACAGAAATTTTAAACACACCAATTAAACAGACTGAACGAACCACAGCAGAAAACAAAAATGATGACAGGTATTGTTTAAAGATTCTCTTTTCAGGTAAGGCACAGGGAACAATGCCCATACAGCCAAGTCTTTACTTTTATTAATCTTCGTCTTTTTTACATTACAATGTCAGTATAACTCCTAATGTTTCTAGGAGTGTTTGGCACGAAATGTATCGAGTTGGCTTTTCCGGCAAAGCTTCTGTGAGGTAGTCAACACTACAATAAAGTTCTCACGTCAACTTGACCGGAATAGAGTATATTTTAGATTCCACTAATTCTTCAGTTGCGATTATTTTATTATCATCACACCAATTTTATTACACAATTTCCGCTACGAACGAATTTAAGAATAAATAAAATAAGACGTCCACACTCGATAAAATCCCGCCAAAAACTTATTTTTTTAATATATTTTACGGCTTTGGAGTGATGAAACGTAGTGTAGTATAGTGAAGTGATAGTCGAAATCGATAATCGACTATAAATTAATAATTGATTATCTTAACAATCAACTAAGTCATTAATTTTCATAGAATAGTCCTATCCACTGCCTGGTCCGCGTAGATTTTTTTCTAGTAAACTTTAGGTTTTTAACATCTAGCAGTTAAATGCTTAAAAATAATAATAATAAAAACATAATTTTCATAGAAGTTAAACAACTTTTGCAATGGCTGATCATAGGATGGGTGACCATAAATTTATTATTTCAAAGCCCTTCGTGCTTAACTGACGCTGCTGAAGTAACGTTGGTCTCGTTTGCATCTATCATGTAGTCGTGATTACGCAAATGTCCGCCTTTCATTATCACCCAAATATTTCGACCTTCCCCGCGCATTGGAAGGCAAGTTAGGCCATTAGGGCCCTACTACATCGAGACACCATGGTGACGACGCTGGCAACGTATTCAAACAATTTATATTACAATGTATGAAAGTTAACTCACTAGGCGACGGTATGGCAGCGTCGCCAATTTGGAAGCGTAACCACGACTGTTGGCTCGCTGTGGGGAGTCTATGTGGGAGATCGTGGCGAACTGGAGACGTTGCCAGCAAAATGTACCCGAGCAAGTTGTGTCTCTCTCACTCAGTGTTAGACCGGCCGCCAAGACTTACGCATAATTAGTTTCAATACAGAAATAAGATTCAATGTAAAAATTCAAAATCGACCATATTTATGGGATACCGCAATAAAGATTATTCGGACCGTAATTTAAAAATAAAATGGGCGAAATAGTAAATGTATTCAAAGAAAAAGACGAAATGACGGTATAAGAAAAAAAAGGAATTAGGTAAATGCACATTTATTTGTTTAGGTTATCCATTTAGAGAAACCATCCATCTCTGGAACGTACAAAGTTGCGCACAATACAACATGACTTTACATTATTTATTTATTTATTTATTTATTTATTTATTTATTTATTTATTTATTTATTTATTTATTTATTTATTTATTTATTTATTTATTTATTTATTTATTTATTTATTTATTTATTTATTTATTTATTTATTTATTTATTTATTTATTTATTTATTTATTTATTTATTTATTTATTTATTTATTTATTTATTTATTTATTTATTTATTTATTTATTTATTTATTTATTTATTTATTTATTTATTTATTTATTTATTTATTTATTTATTTATTTATTTATTTATTTATTTATTTATTTATTTATTTATTTATTTATTTATTTATTTATTTATTTATTTATTTATTTATTTATTTATTTATTTATTTATTTATTTATTTATTTATTTATTTATTTATTTATTTATTTATTTATTTATTTATTTATTTATTTATTTATTTATTTATTTATTTATTTATTTATTTATTTATTTATTTATTTATTTATTTATTTATTTATTTATTTATTTATTTATTTATTTATTTATTTATTTATTTATTTATTTATTTATTTATTTATTTATTTATTTATTTATTTATTTATTTATTTATTTATTTATTTATTTATTATTTATTTATTTATTTATTTATTTATTTATTTATTTATTTATTTATTTATTTATTTATTTATTTATTTATTTATTTATTTATTTATTTATTTATTTATTTATTTATTTATTTATTTATTTATTTATTTATTTATTTATTTATTTATTTATTTATTTATTTATTTATTTATTTATTTATTTATTTATTTATTTATTTATTTATTTATTTATTTATTTATTTATTTATTTATTTATTTATTTATTTATTTATTTATTTATTTATTTATTTATTTATTTATTTATTTATTTATTTATTTATTTATTTATTTATTTATTTATTTATTTATTTATTTATTTATTTATTTATTTATTTATTTATTTATTTATTTATTTATTTATTTATTTATTTATTTATTTATTTATTTATTTATTTATTTATTTATTTATTTATTTATTTATTTATTTATTTATTTATTTATTTATTTATTTATTTATTTATTTATTTATTTATTTATTTATTTATTTATTTATTTATTTATTTATTTATTTATTTATTTATTTATTTATTTATTTATTTATTTATTTATTTATTTATTTATTTATTTATTTATTTATTTATTTATTTATTTATTTATTTATTTATTTATTTATTTATTTATTTATTTATTTATTTATTTATTTATTTATTTATTTATTTATTTATTTATTTATTTATTTATTTATTTATTTATTTATTTATTTATTTATTTATTTATTTATTTATTTATTTATTTATTTATTTATTTATTTATTTATTTATTTATTTATTTATTTATTTATTTATTTATTTATTTATTTATTTATTATTTATTTATTTATTTATTTATTTATTTATTTATTTATTTATTTATTTATTTATTTATTTATTTATTTATTTATTTATTTATTTATTTATTTATTTATTTATTTATTTATTTATTTATTTATTTATTTATTTATTTATTTATTTATTTATTGATTTATTTATTTATTTATAACTGTGATGTTCACATCCCGAAGATATTCCCTGACGATGCCGGCCGCATGGGCTCTTGCATTATCATGCATATAAAGGAAATTTGGGCCCGCATAGTCCGCGTATGGTATCACGTGAGGTTCTAAGCACTCATGAATGTACCTTTCAGCATTTAATGTTGACAGCCGTGGTCCTGTAACAACCTCAAGTTGAGTTTTGCCGCTCGCGGATATACCGCCCCAGACAGTCCATGAGCCACCGCCATAAGCAACCCTCTCTTCAAAGCACCATTGTGCGAAACGCTTTCCCTTACGTCGGTAGACCTTCTTCCTTCCATCATTGCCATGTAACACAATTTTAGACTCATCAGAAAAGAATAAACGGCTCCAATCTTGCTGTGTCCAATTTAAATGACTGCGTGCGAAATGAAGGCGCGCTGTTCGGTGGGCTCGCGTTAGTTTGGACCCATTAGCTGGCTTGTGTGGTACCATATCGCGTTCTTTTAACCTTCTCCGAACAGTTCGAGCGCTCACATATACTCATTGGAAGTCGCGAATTTGTTTTTGTATCTCAATGGAGGTAAGGTGACGATTTCTCAAGCTGGTCGTCACGATGAATCGATCCTGCCTTTCAGTTGTGACCCGAGATCGTGGCCTTCCTGGGCGACGAACAAAGCCGCCAGTCTCTAGGTACCTCCGAAAAACATTTCGGGCCGCAGATCAATTTAAATTAAGTTGAGGACTCACGTTTCTTTGGCTGTGTCCGGCCTGAATAAGTGCCACAACTTGGGCGGCGACTTCAGGTGAAGTATCCATAGATTATTGATAGAACCTCACCTTAATGTTAAGAAAAAGTAATGTTTGTTGCAAAACCAAAGATATCAATCACTTTTTCGAAAATTAAATCCAAGTAAACCAATAAAACCAAGTTTTCTTAGTATTCGATTGTTTGATATCATCAAAAACAGGCTCCAAATTGTCTTTTATTTAAATAAAACTAGTTTTTACGGGTTAATGCACGAAACTTTATTTATTTATTGACGTTTCGTAGCCTTTACAGGCTACGTCGTCGGTCGGGTAAAAGGCTACGAAACGTCAATAAATAAATAAAGTTTCGTGCATTAACCCGTAAAAACTAGTTTTATTTAATGAATGATGTGCGTGAAAACCTAAGAAACAAATATGTCTTTTATTGAAGTTATACTTCTTTAGGTGCGTTATGAAAAAATGATGAGAGTGAATGCGCGCGCATCACTGTAACCCAAAAGTAACAGCATGAATTTGGCCGCGGGCGCGTTATGAAAAAATCATGTGAGTGAAATTTCGAGATGCGCGCGCATCACTGTAACACAATAGTAACACCATGAAGTTGGCCGCGGGCGCGTTATGAATGTTAGTGTCTAATAATGGTGGATTATTAACCACTTAGTGGTTAATAATCCACCATTATTAGACATCTGTTCGAAAGGTACTTTGAACGATCCACGGAGCTCCATAAGATGATCGCGTTGTCAAAAACAATGTTGGCATGCTCGTCGCCTCTGATCACTGTTTTCATATTTATAATATTTATCCACATGTTTCTAGTTTCTATATAGACACAACGTGTTTTAGTTACTTACAAGTGCTAATTACATATGGACTCATCATCATCATCAAATTCAGTAGTGATTTTAATTGAATATTTTGAATATTTATTTAATTTTACAAATTAAAACTGAACTTAATTGACTGTGTTAACTATCCTTTTCCAGTCCTTTTATTATTTTATTGTAATTATTAATTATTTGCATGCAATTAAAAAATATTTTTAATGATGCTAAAGAAGTATAACTTCTCACGCGCGTACATAAGTTACACGCATCCATTTTTTTTCTTTAAATTCTATGTTCGAAATTCAAAAAAAGACTATTGAATGAAATTGTGAATGTGCCAGGTTTAAAACTGCATAAAAACTTTTTGCTCGACCTAATATAAAATTTTAGCTAGGATCAAACGAAACTGAAAATACAAGGTGGGCCAATAGATGTGTCCAGAAGTGTATATATATATACTACATTAGTTATTTATTATACAAGAGTGGAAAGTTCCTTTTTAACCGCGTGCTCGATTTGGATGACCGAGCAA